ACCGTTTAGTTTGGATACCTCCTCCCCTGGCCCTACCTCCTCGTGTAGAACTGCTGCCTAAGTCAGGCGCGAATGTAGAAACCTGCTGTAGCCATTTACTCAGTGTGACAGATGGGCACAATAGGACCCTGCAATATCGGCCGACTGTAGGGGTGAAGTTTTCCATGGTTTCCCTCCCAGTCCTATGTCCTAGTCCGAATCGGGTGCAGTTGGGTGAAGAGCAAGACAGCCCACGGTAACGCATTTCTTCATTGAATTACATTTCATCCCGCGATTAACTATCGCACATTAAAATTCGCCACGATTTTCTCGGTAATGTTTACCCAATTTTTCTCAACGTGCAAGATCATGCCCCCTGAGGCTCCCAACAGTTAGAAAAATCCAACATTTTTCAAGGAGAAATCTGACTCCAACAGCCCACAACTTTTAAAACTCATAGTAGTCTCCTCTCAACGCCTCATTGCTTCAATCCATCAATTTCATAAACTTCGTGAACCTCCGCGCCCTTTCAAAAATAACTATCGATTATTAACATCCGAAATTTGTGGATCGGATTGTGGACGATGGAATGAGTGATAAATTTGTCGAAAAGTTTTGGAAAATTGTAGAAATAAAAGTCACGATGTTGAACTCTATTTGAATTCTAGAACAACGTCATACGGCACGGAGGACGCATGTGGAGGGAGTCATTGGGGATTCTGCTAGCATACCTTTGATTCTCTTCATCTGATGGAAAAATACTTGCAGGGGTATTCATCAGGTTGAAGAATGGCCTGTCAAAAATTTTTTTTTCAAGGTTTTTCTTTCAATTTTCCTTGAGTCAACAACGGAAACTGAAAATATATAAAAAGAGTTTGCAAAGAGCCAACGAAAGCAATGAAAAATCAGTGACTCACTGTTTTCTCCATATTTTTGATGATATCTTTGAGATGCTATAATAATCACGTACAAAAAATAAAATGAAATGGTAAATAGTTGAAAAGGGGAATCACCCATGACGTGCTCAGCAGTCAAACTGGATGTTGTTTCCCTCTGTTGGCGAATACATTATATGCTATAGTTATCCTCATCTATTAATCACCATATCGTTGAACCCTCGCTGACATCCCGAAAATTCAAATGATGCTGATCCTAAATTCATTATTGATTCTCCCAATGAACAGTGCAATCACCTCAGTGTTGCGGTTTTTGAGACCCGGACTATTTTTCTACACGGCATTCCGATGGATGTCGCATTGTCCTTCAATATTATCTCAACGTTTTGCGAACGTTGAGATAATATTTTTTCTGTGCAAATTGGATTATAGAGACGAGGTAAGGCGAGACGAGACGAGAGAATCTCTCAATTCTCGACGAGACGAGACAAGAGAATGATTTCCTGACGAGTCTCGACGAGAAGATGCAGTTTCCAGTCTCGTCTCGTCTCGCGGCATCACTGCCGTGATCACTGAAACCGGGACGATCCCTCCGAAGTATTGTCTCGTGATGTCTCGTGAAATGTCTCGTGGCATCACTACTTCTTTGGATGTGAGTTCACTATTAAGATTATTGATCCTATGCCACTGTCGTAACTGTGTTTTCAATATTTTATCTTGAGATTCAGTTTCAGATTTAAAATACGGAAAAATGCGCCTTAATTTGAGTGCAATTAAGCAATACAAATACGTGAGCAGAGGTTTATCTTAAAATGTCTCGTCATCTTGAGGTTGTGCATAAAAGTCTTGATGTTTATTTCTCAACACACGTGTAAATATCTCAACAGATTTACGAGCATTTTCAAGTTTTTTTGATGAGTCGATTAATTCTTCCCGATGACAAAGGTCTAGAAACAGAAAACTCTGTATCATGAAGTGACTCATTCTCATTTTTATTGTCTTCCTGGGTCACCTGACATTTGCTCAAACAATTTTCAGTCATTTTCTTTGATTTTTTGTGGTTGAAAGTGACGTGCAGGCATGAATATGCACTTCGCTTTTCATTGGCATCTTGCCGAAGACAAATATTGTACTTCAAGCGACAGAATCATCTTATTCCCATAAAGTTGGAAACATAATACTTTCCCGAAGTGACTGATGTAAGGAAGTGGATAAAATTCAAATACGAGTGGATAAAATTGAGAGCCAAATGTGAATGAATAGTAAATCGTATTAACGTAAACAGGTTATTTCGGGGAACGCCATAATAATCCAAACTGGACTTTTTATTGTCTTCCTGGGTCACCTGACATTTGCTCAAACAATTTTCAATCATTTTCTTTGATTTTTTGTGGTTGAAAGTGACGTGCAGGCATGAATATGCACTTCGCTTTTCATTGGCATCTCGCCGAAGACAAATATTGTACTTCAAGCGACAGAATCATCTTATTCCCATAAAGTTGGAAAAATAATACTTTCCCGAAGTGACTGATGTAAGGAAGTGGATAAAATTCAAATACGAGTGGATAAAATTGAGAGCCAAATGTGAATGAATAGTAAATCGTATTGACGTAAACAGGTTATTTCGGGGAACGCCATAATAATCCAAACTGGGGTGTTTGACCACTCATTCAAACTTTATAATATTCGAATCCGTTTTCTGACAAGGTCGAATATAACGCACACAATGAGATAGAAAAATCTTTCGTGAGATCAACGGAATTCCCCGGTTTAAATTCAAGAGTCCTCGGAGTCACGTCTTGTGGGGAGATGAAGGACCTCTGAGATGTCAATCGTGTCTGGGCAGGATTTCCTCCCATAAAAAATAAACAGTGCATTCTTGAAGAGCTAAAGTCATTCTGCAAGGTCAGTTATTCATAAGAGGCAAGATATCATAAAGGCGTAGAAAAATTATTGTTTTCTTCCATATTTTTACTGATGGTCAAGAGCCTGATGAAGCTAAAATAATTACCGAAACGTCGCACTTATGATAATTCGATCAACGTTGCAATTATTTCTCCAACATCCCTTGAACTTTACTGATAATTATTGAGACCATGGAGATGAACGGCTTCATTGATTATTCCAATCGTTTCCCGTCATTTTTAATTCAACCAAACTTCGATTGACTTTTTTTCAGAAGGGATTCCATCTTTTTTACGGTTGAAAACCAGTTTAAACCCAAAATAACAGTTCCACCTTCAGAATCCGGAATTTTTATTAAATGTGGAGTCATCGCATTATAATACGGCATATTACATAATGCATGACTAACCTTCATTCACCAAAAATTACATGGAACATAGTGATGGGCAATCTTAAATCACAATATCGTTTATTTTCGGTCAAGATTCTCGTCAATTCGGTCCCAGTAGCATCTCGAACGGACCCCCATATGGCACCCCATATGGCCGCCATACCAATCAACGGACTTTGAATGGAATTGTTTTTTTGCTTCCGAATGAAAGCTTTGTAATCGTCATTTTTTTTATTTCTTATTTTGGGTGGAATTGCCTAGAAATGTCATGAAACGTGAAGAAATGATGGAGCTTGACATTTTTAAAAAATGTCTGCATGTGTGTTCACATGTGTGTTTGTATGTCCAGAACTGTCGCCATAACTCGAGAATTATTGAGACTCAAATTTGTGCTAAATTGCAGCTCGATCGGTTGAGCGGTGCCGGAGATATAGCGATTTTTCTAAAATAATTTTTTGCTGATATCTCCTGTGCCTTTCGACCGATTCAATTTTCATTTTTCAAAAGGCTCGTCATGATACCTAATTAAGGGGAGACTATTATGAGTTTTAAAAGTCGTGGGATATTCGAGTGAGATTTTTCATGCATTGAAGATCGATTATAAATGTCTAAAAACGACTAATTAGTACAAAAAAATAGCCCAGGGTCACCAATTTTTGGGCTACAGAGGATTTTTTTTTCAAATTTTTTGAAAAAATGTGTGCAATAACAATTACAAATTAGTTTTTTGAAATTCGACTCCCACGTAGCTATTTTTGTTCTGTTTAATATAAAAATATGCACCATTCATGTAAACTGGGCAGAAAAATTATCCTTAAGATATTTAAAATATATTCTCGATTCTTTCAGAAATATTTTCCGGCCATTTTACATGAATTGTGCAATTTTTTATTGAAATAATAACGAAATTAGCTGTGTAGGAGCTGAATTTCAAAAAAATTATTTTTAAAATTAAAAAACTCATAGCACTCTCCCCTTAATTGGATTGAAAAAACACCATTACACATTTTTCCATTTTTTCGCTGAAATCGCTTGTTCGCCCAAAAAAGCGATTTGTAATTGCTTTTCCAAAAATTAATGCGAAAAAATCTTTCCTATCGCCAAAATTGGGTACACCGGAGGCTTCTTTCGATCAAGTTCTCAAGATTTCAGGCTCTTATATGGCTGACGGACGATGAACAGTGAGTTTCTTCACACTAATAATCAATTAATAAAAACAAATTGTCCGCTTCAATAACCCGAGACGTTTAAAACTCATCGGAGACAATATGAAAAATTGTACGGACAACGTGCTAAGTGTCTTCACTTAGCACTAGAGTGAAGCAAAAATGAAGTAGCATAATCCATAAAAATTGCTGCGGAGCCCTCGCGTCTGACCAAGCGCACTCCACATCTACTGTCACGGCCAGTTTTCAAATCCTCTCGAGCGTCAAAATCCCCGCCAATCTCAGAGCCGACTCCATCACCCATTCAATAAATTCACCATATCTCTCATGATTGCTGCGAGAAAACTCCAAATTCCAAGGTTAATGCCAACCACAATCCCAACCCGTGCGTCCTGCACATGTATCCAACTACAATATCTCAAAATCCCGGGACCTTGACTCCTCAACGTCCTCATATCTAAAAACAAAATGCTGCAAACCTCACGTACCATATTTGTGCCCAATCACCGCACACGAGGATCACAGAAGTTAAGCCCAGACATTTACCGGGAGGTGAGCATGCTCCCACTCTCATATCCTGGCCCCAACCTGAGGCCCCACTCAGTGGCCGATACTTAAACCCACAACTTTTGCTCCTCCGATTTATTCCTGCTGCAGCAAACGCTCAAATCGGTCAAATCCCGAATTATGTACTCAAATGTCTGTAAAATTGTGACTGCCATTCACATTGTACGGACAAATGTTTGCAACGAATTCCCAAAATAATGAAAATTTTTTAAGCAGTGAAACAAAAGTTGAAATATTTTTGTAAAAATTTCAACAACAAAAAATTCGAAGAGAAATTCAACTGAAAATAATTAATTGCCTAAAATTTGAATAAAGTGAAATTGACGTCGAATTGGAATTGAGAAGGGGAAACAGTGGATTGCCATCGCAAAACGTATCTCTTAGTGTCTTTCGATGTGTAACTTTGAGAGAAAGGTGACGTCGAGTACTGATCTCGATCTGATGCGGCATCGGTAGCTTCGTCAATTTTTCAACAGTTTCAAGTTTCGAGGTTTCTTCAGTTTTTCAGTTACGGTTCGCGGGGTTTTGTTGATTATTGTGCGGTTCGAGTTGCTCATGGATACTGTGGGGATTATTAAAAAGGAAGTTTTGAGAGTTTGATTCGCCAGAAGGACATTACTACCTGTGGTAACGTGAAGTGATTTTTTTTTTGTTTCTTCTATCACGTTTTGAGAGGAAAGGAGTTGTTTCACTGATTGAGGTAAGAAAATGTGAAAGAATGGGTAATTAATTATCTCAGTGTTTTGTGAGATGAAAAGAAAATTGATTTTTTGAGAAAAAAATAGATCAATTCAGCAGCGAAGTGGTCAAACGGTTTAAGTCAATTTAGTCTCTAGTTGAGTTTTCCTGAAATATTTTCGAATTCAAGGGAGATAGCGAAATTTTGATAATAACCTTTATTGTAGAGCGAATTGAGTGCTACTAAAAAGGTTATAAGAAAAAATTTGCTATCTCTCTTAGATTTAGAGATATTCATTGAAAACTGGCCGATTGCCAAAATCGACTTAAACCGTTTGACCACTTCGCTACTGAATTTTTCCTTCGCGAAACTCCAATGGATGAACTTGATTCAATCGGTGGTATTCAAGACAAGACCATGCTTGATGATTTTTCAGAAAAATAATCGTTAATCACGCAATACCGAGTCATTAAGGGAATTCGCTCCACTTTAAACGCCGGCGATACATGCATTAAAATCACGAAACGCTTGCCATTCACCTATGGAACGAGTCATTTTTTATTGACTGAAAAAAACTGAATAAATCAGTAGTGCAGTGATAAAAGGCAATCAATGACATATTGAGTTTTTTAAATTATGAAATGACTTCGAAAAAGTCGAGTGACATTTTTGCGACTAACATTTTTGCGAATAATCCGTTGTCCAAGTGATTTCATATTTACCAAGATTTTATACATGAACTCATTACTTTCGATCACTTCATTAACAGAGATGGATGCAACAGAATGACCGATTAAATCGCCGATTATTGCGGGAATTAATAAGTGATGACCTGCAAATACTGCGCTGAGAGTTTACGATTTGGTCCAACAAAACATGATAGCCATCAACAGGAAAGGACGAGTTCTAAATCATTTCCACATTTGTGTTTGTCGTCAATGAGAACTTTCTGCGCATCATAAAAATCCGGTTTGATTTTAGGAAATGGTGGAATTGAATAGTGAAAAAAATTACCGGAAAAATTAGCAAAACGAGAATGAGTGAAGTTTGAAACTATCTCTATAGGAAAGAAAATATTCTAGTGTCTGAAACCAAGTTACTGAGGGAAAGAAACTGGTTATTACATTTCAGAAGAAGCTTTCCAAAAATCTAGTTACTGCAAGTGAGAAGAGTTAATAAAAAATAATTTGGCAATATTCAACATTAATTCAGTAGCGAAGTGGTCAAAAGCTTTAAGTCGACTTAGCCCTTAGCTGAGTTTTCGAGGCATATCTCCAAATCTAAGGAAGATAGCGAATTTTTCGCCTCTATCTTTTTTGAAGCTCTCAAGGTCCTCTACCGAAAACCTTATAACAGAAATTTGGCTATCTGCCTTAGATTGCGAGATATTCATTGAAAACTCGTGAATAGTCAAAATCGACTTAAACCGTTCGACCACTTCGCTACTGAATTAAGTCAAAGCGCCAGGTGATATTTTTGAACGACAGAAGTTTTCTCCACATGACAAATCAGTTCAAGAACGCGAGTGTTCTCAACTAATTTGAGAATCCGAAAATTCTGAATTTCGCACCCCCTAAATCTTTAAAATGAGAAAACAAAGCGTACCTTAATTGTCGCACAATTTACTCCAGATATTAGTAAAAAAATACTAAAAATTAATACTTGTTTCTCAGATTTTTGGAAAAAATTTTATTGAATGAAAAGTTCACTCACTTTTCTCATTTTTCGATTGATAAATTAACGTACAACAGAATTTTGAAATTCAGAAAATTTCACTGGAAACAAGAAAGTTTTTTATTTTTTATTGTTTACTGTCAATGAAAATTCTTTTGGCGTCGTTGAGAAAATCCCCAGTGAAGTATCAGAATAAATCAAAATAATCTGCTGATCAATTTTCATCGAAAGTTCATCAAACGTATTTTACCAAAAAACGCGGTAAATTAGCGCATCATTTTTATTTGCCAATAATACCACTAATTACGACGAATTTCTAAAATTGTCCACCTGTGGAATAAATTTACTCCGGCCATAAATTTATTCTGAAGATTTATTTGGCTAACGGGCCCATTGAAATTCAATTTTATAAAAAAAAATCGAAATTGAATAATGAAAAAAATTTCAGAAAAAATTGCGGAAACAAAAAAAAATATTAATTGACAACTATCTCGATGACGTTTGTTTTTTCAACTTTCGCACGATTCGGGATTGTATTAACTACGAATCATAAAATCATCAGAAAATCGCCATTTAGCAAGACCTGACCAAATAAAAAATTCCGGTAATTACGTTTCTACAATCCTACTGAATTTTCTAATTGACCAGGAATGACTGAAATAAAATAGTAATTTAATTTCTCGGTGAAAAACATTGCATGTGGATTAATCATGCACGTATTTGATTGAAAAAAGATGGATGATAAAATTTACGCATGATTACGAAAGTTGAAAACCGCAATGAAAAGGACAACTCGTGTTTTATTTGGCACAAGGTCACTGGACCGTTCACAAATATGCAGAATTTTTCAATGACTTATCATCGTTTTATATCGACGCTTCAGGGGTGTTTTCGGTAGTGGCGAGAGTCTCAAGTTCACTCGAATTAATGAGGAAGAGAATTGACCTTTAGATCTTGGGAAGCCGGACGTTCCAAGGAGTCAATCTAGAAACCTTTTCCATATGAAATTCACCTATTTGAAAATAAGGGTCCTCCGCATTTTCGGTGGAATAATCTGCATCAAATTTTTCTGCTATATTCCTAGGACTTTCTACCGTTTAAGTGGTCCAATTTCTCGTTAAACAATGACTTTTCAGTTTATCAAAGCTGATGGAAAAGGGAAACTTTGTCCTAGATCATCTGTAATAATTTAGTTACTGAATAAATTTTTCCTTAATCTACTACAAAAGATCGTACTCCAACATCCGTTTCAAATGTCTGGTATTTCAATCGTAATGCTCAATTTATTGATGATTTTACGTGGCAATAACGACACATCTGAGTTATTAACGACACATTAAATTCAAAAGTTCATTAAACATCGAATGAATGGGATGAAGTGTAAAAGTGGAAATGAACTTAGAATTAGGCACGGCATATCCTACTTCAAGCAAACGGGGTCGAACGTAGCAATCATCGAAGAAGCTGGGTCGAGAAGCATGTGCCGTTGAAAACCGCCGGAGGTATTTCATCCTACGGTAGTATGAAAGTAAGAAGAAACCGCGCTGAGTTCACTGGAGCCGAAATATCGATTCAATCGTCACTTTTATTTCTTCAAAAGGATTTTTTTTCCCGTCAAGTTTTATGATTTTCTAATCAGTTTATAATCTTTTGCTACATTCAACTGTAAAAGAAAAGTGACAAATCCCACAAATCAAGCCTGATTGGGCTTTTGTGCTTAAAATAATGTAAAAGTTCACGCACGAAACAATCTTATAGAAAAAGTCAACAGAATTCGATTTTTCTATATAACTTATTCTTTTCATATATTTTCTGTAGAATTTGCTCGACTCAAATTTTCTATTTTTTTTATTCTATTTTTATTTTCTTCTCATCAAGAAAATTAAACGAAAAAAACTTAGAAAATTAGAGCCGAGGAAATTCTATAGAAAAATTGAATTCAATAGAATCGGCCAAAAACTAATAGAACAGTTCAATAGAAATTCAACAGAATTTTCTAACGATTTCGATAGGTTTTTCTATTAAATTTTTTCGTCCCTGCTGGATGATCAAAGCTGTATTTTCAAGTCAAACATGGAAATACTTGAACATTTGATTATATTGATTCTCCTCACACCTCACGTGGTAAGTGGGTTAGCCGCGGGATTCTTGAATACGGGCGCACATATCTCCGAGAAGGAGAATGACTCCACTTTTCCCTCGGTTACTGTCTCGTGCACTTGAAGATCAAGTACGGAGAAGAATAAAAAATTGAATCTGGCCAGCGTCGAACAAATCAACTGCTCAGATAGTCACGAGTGAGTGGAATATGATAACTTGCGTCGGAAAATTGTCGTCTCACTTGTCGATAATCCATTACCATGGTTAATGGCTCATTCCTATCGCTCAAATCTATCTGCATCATATTGGAAAAAAATGAAAATATTTGAATTCTGAAACATCTTACGGGGGCACATTTTTTTCGTATATGTGCATAGTACGTGGAGTTTACTATTTTACTATTTTATTTTTTTGTAATAAATGAGAATAATCGCGAGTGGGTGATTCAACTGCAATTAACCATAATTTGACAGCCTGCCCTTATGGAAATGAGATATATGCAGCACTTATATCTAACATATATTTGGCATACCACATTTTTCGCCGAAAATATATGAGATATATTGCCGATATATGTTAAATATTTAACATCGAGATATATGTGCATATTTATATCTAGGATATATCTGGCATATGACATTTTTGGCCGAAATATAAGTGAAGTATACTGAGATATATGTCCGGATATATGTTCTTTCCGTAAGGGTGATCTGGTAGCGGTCGACATGCTTCTGAATTTTTCAAATTCCCAAAAAACTACGACGATAAGTTGATAAACTTTAACGTTATTTATCGCAAGAAACATACATTCTTATAAATGGCCATTACCCGCGGGCCTTCAGCTTAGATAAGTTGATATTTAATTTTAAAAAATAGCCTAGAAGAATTAACTCGGCGATTAAAGACCAATTCTCAGCGGATGACAGACTCACTGACGTTTGGCGAGCAGATATTAAACCGATATTTGGCCTTTGATCGGGGCCCGATGTTGGATCGATGTTTGGCCCTGTTGCATATATCGACAAATCCTGGATGGGATATTTCGTGAACTCATTCTCTACTACCAACGCTTTTGCCTTGGAAAAGAAAAATAATTTACACTTTAATGACATCTCATCAGTTTTATTTTTTGAAAAATAACAGCTGTTTTTTAAATTTTCCCTCTCTTCACATAAAAATGGCATACTCAGCAATATATGTTTCAAGATCAGCCTTTAACATTGTAAGAAAAGCCATTTCACTCCGCATAAAACGTCGATATTTTTCAAACTATAGCAATTACATTGATAACGAGGTCATGAATGGCTTCTTCGGAATTCGAAAGTAAGAAAAATTATTAAAAACGCTAATCTCGATCAGGTAGAAAGAAAATGCCAAAAATCCAAGGTGAAAATTATTGAGTCTATTGAATCTATTATTACATTTGCATTCTTCTTCTCTCATTATTACGTATCGTTGATGGTAATGCGGCGGAGGAGCCATTTATAATTAACTGGGCACGCGTTCCACTTACCCACTAACGGCTGGCAGGGCACCTTACTCCTGCGTGCTACCATCATGATCATGAAAAAATATCATCTTCCTCTCTTTCTCATGTCTTTTACGCTCGGTTCCGTTGTAGAAACGATCGAGACACTCTTTCGTTCATGAGCCATCTCACAAGAGTTTAAACTTTCTCCATAACAAGTACCGTTTCGTCTCGCATCTCTCCCGTTCGTGCGCACTGCCACAGAAATGAGAGGATCATTCCAATGGAAAACGCTGCGCTGGAACTGACAGTTGGTTCAACGACAATTTTGCGGCATTTCTGTCATTACAAAGAGCCAATTTCTGAATTTGAGCGTTTTCGATTCAAGTATTTTGGATGGAAAAACTGGCGCGCAATATTTTTATACCAAATTTGAGGACAATAGCAATTTTCTTCTTCATCATCGCTAGGTTGAGGGAGAAGCCATCGGTGCTGTCGTTCAACGCATTGGGGCAGTTCTCCAAAATTGTAAACAAATAGTTCGACAAAAACATGTGACAGATGGCACATTACATACGACTGCTCCCTCACGGAAAGAAAATATAGGCAAATAATTATACGTGAAATATATGTGACATATTGCATTTTTCGCCGAAAATATATGTGCGTATAATTCTCGAGCTATGGGGACAGTTCTAGGCGTACGAACACACATGTGTTCGTACGCACGCACATACAGAAATTTTTTAAAAACATTTCTTCGCGTTTCATGACACTTCTAGGCATTTCCACCCAAAATTAACAAATCGAAAAAAATCACGATTACAAGGCTTTTGTTCGGAAGCAAACACATAAAATTATCGGGGCGGGTGGGGTAAAATGGACACTAGACTTTTTTTTAAATATTCGTAACTCAGAAACAAATTTATCAATTGAGCTCAGTTTAGGCTCGTCACAAAGGGAAAGAATAGTTCCTTGTATTGAAAAAAAAATTAAATTTTATCAACATCTCAACCCCTCATTAACATTTTAAAAAAAGTTAAAAGTGTCCGTTTTACCCCAACCTCCCCTAATCATGAAATCAGGATCGAATCATTTTAATATTTTTACAAAACTGTTGAAGCGACTCGAATTTTCGTTAGGTTACACTACTGTCGCTGTTGATATTTATTCATGTGGAAAAACGGGATTAATTTTCTGTGGTAAATTGACGAGCTAACGCTACTTATATTTTTTCCTTTGAAAAATCAGTTCAGCATGATCACTCGTAGCGTCTACAATTTGGGTGCCCTACACCGAAATGCAGTTAGAACTAATCAAGCATAGCTATTCTCTTACACTTTGAACACTGTTAGATTTTTAAGAATTCAAATAGCTGCATTTCAACTTGCAATTGTGAATTTTAATTCATCTTTGAAAATTAACGAAATTTAGTTTTCCATGGTATGCGATCATTAATATTTTAGTGACAGCTTGGATTTTCAAACTCATTGGGAGAATAGAATGTCATAAACAACTTAATTTGCAATCTCTTTATCAATTAATGAATTAATCAATTCATTTATTTACTTCTTTATTTACTCAGCAGAACAATAGTTTCCCAAATTTCCAGTTGTTTTCAATGTCGTACAGATCTGGGAATTGCCATTTCATTGAGTATTCCAGAAATTAACTGATCTGTGTTGCTTAGGAGGTAGAAATATCAAGTTCGATTGCTTCTACTTGACTCCGGCATACGACACTCTGATCAATAATACCATCGAGATTGTTTAAGTCATATCGTTGAAATGTGGCAGAAATTTTGAATCGGCGAAATCGGATTATCGAATTGATTCCAAAATTAATCCCCATTTCAATCTCGAATAAATTAAAAGTTTATCCGTAATTGCGATATTTCCAAATTTTTTCCTTCGTTTGTTAATCAATGTAAGAGTATACTGAGCATATTTTTGTTGACTCTTTCACAGTATTTGATGTACCAAGGTTACAACCGAAAGTTTTCGCTTGCCTCAGACATGTGGTTCGCCTCTTTTTCATGACCTTAGAACGGCTCAAGGACGTCGGAGTCGGGTTTTTAAATTTTTTATAGCGAATAATTATGCAGATTTTTTTTATTCAAACGAATTTTCAATTTTATTTTTAAAAGAATGTCGAGTAATGTTGCGGAACACTTATTTTTATTGGGGGAGACCGGGGCAAAATGAGACCCCTTTTTTTTTGTTTTTCAATCAGGCAAATGAGCCCAGTGTTTTTTTCGATGTAACGCCGTTTAACAGATTACATAAGTAGGAAAATAAGTTTTTGAATCAAAAAAAGGAACTTCTATCTAAGACAATCGCCAATCGTCGTTGTGAGGAATATTCTAGTTTTTACGGGAATGAGACATTTTCTTGTCTCATGCAGCTATTTCATCTTACAGTTATGACTTTTCGTAAGTTCATCATAATTCGATTTTTTTGTACACTTGAAAATTTTTTGGCTATAAATTTCCGAAACACTTTCGGGGAATGTTTATCACATTTTAGTTCCACTAAAATTTCGAGGAATTTTGTCATTGAAAATTCAGAATCTCATGGGAAAATCAATGAGAACTGCAAATGTAAATTTTCGGTAGAAATAATACTAAATTTTCAATTAGTTGGAAATTCAGCGGTATTTAACACTAAATATTCATTTGTTCGTAGAAAATTCTAATAAGTTGAGAAATTCTTGTCCCAATGTTGCTTAAAAATTTGGAATTTTCTGTGAAATCTGAAATTTTATAATTTATTCCCCCTAAATCGCATTCAATATTTATCTTCTGCAAATTACTAGTCGGCTGTCTATGAGATTTTATGGACAAGAGCCGATTGATCATAAATCGAGTGAAATAATTAAGTCTCTCCCGTTTTACCTCACGAGGATCAAACTTCATCACGGTCATGGTTATTTTGGCATTCATTAATTAATGATTATCAATAATAATAGACTGAGTTGAGGGCGAACTTAACCGGAATGCTTCTATTCTTATTAACTCCCGTTTAGAATTTTTTCAGGTTGTAATCTTTGAAATCAGAGTTATATTTATACTTTAAATCCACTAAGAACGGGGTATTTCATTAGTGACTGCAGAAAAATCAATCATTCGTGTAAAATCTCAAATTTTACAGGGGTCTCATTTTGCCCCGTAAAATTAGTTAAATTGTATTCGAATCGCTAGTTAAATAGTATTCAAATAATGATACAATGATACAATCGAGTTTGCCGTAAACTTCCTAAAATTCGAAATTTGTGAAAATCTGTATAAATTAATTGTCTCAATCATCCGTAATCAAAAGTTATTTTCATGAAATTCATCAGGACATGATATTTGAATGAATTTATAAATTCATAAAACACTAGCGTCAACGAAATATTTGTAAATTGATTCCTAAACTGGGTTACCCAACCATTCGAACTCTACAATTCTCATAATTTCTCGCGTTGGAAAATTCGCATTACGAAACAATCAACGGATTTGCCACCAGGAAGTACCCAAGTTAACAACTTGATCAATCAGAAGAGCCTAGAGTCCTCGGCGTCCTCAGAGCGCGAGAAATTGTGCTTATGAATTGAATTGTATGACCAGGAGGACACACTGACGAAAGCCTTGTTGTCGACGATGATTTTGCAATAACAAGATACAACTAATGTATTTTCTATCTCTGCGAGACCAAAACTGTGCGACTTTCTAGGGGAGCTAAGACGGATGATCGATAATGCCATTTGTGCAAGCGATGTCCTGACGTATTGGACATCTGCGACTTCCTGAAGAAGTTAGTAGATATAACTGTGGTAATTGGGTTATTGCATAAATTTCTCTATTGAATAATATGATGAAATGCACTCATTGAATAGAGAGTATTAAATAAATTTGTTCATGTTGAAAAATAATAAAACAAGCATAGGTTCGAGCCTATTCGGCAGAAGGCATCTGATTATCTCGAAAATTTTGCATGAATGGGTACAGATATTTTGATTGATCTAGATGATCTATAAGCCGTCGAGACGAGTATTTTGGAAAAATAAAAAATCAAATCCGTTGAGTAGTTTGTGAGATATTTAACAAAATATATTTACACAAAAGGTTGCATAGCTCAGTAACCGCTTGGCCGATTGCGCCCATCCGAAATACCAACCTTTCGTATTATAAGAGCTAGGATCATACCAAATTTCAACTTGCTAGCTCCTTTTTTTCTCAAGTTATCGTGTGTACAAGATTTTTCATGGTTCAGTGGTAGTTTTTAATAAATATCTCCGAATCTGAGGGAGATGGAAAAATTTTTGTTATAACCTTTTTTGTAGAGCCAATTGAGAGCTATAACAAATGTAATTACGAAAATTTCGCCATCTCCGTTAGATTCGGAAATATTCCTCAAAAACTCAACTGGGAGATAAGTCCCCTTAAACCGGTTTACCACTTCGCTACTGAAATTTTTTCGTGTGAGTACATAATGCAAATGTTTTTGTTGCAGATTACAAATGGCATCAGCAGCAGCGGAATTAGTGGCAGAGCGGGAGCCCGAGCCTTTGTTAAAAATGCAAGACACAAATCGCACGTTCGTAGGGGCAGAAGGCCTAGTGCGAATGGCCTTGGAGCAGTACACAGAGATTCTGGAGACAGCATCAGACCCAAGAGTCAGTGACTGGCCCCTCATGGACTCCCCAATTCCAACATTCTTAATCGTTATACTTTATCTCTACGGGGTGACTTTACTAGGGCCAAGGATGATGGCTAACAAAAAGCCTTATGGACTTAAAACTATACTTGTCGCTTACAATGCGTTTCAAGTTATTTTTTCACTGGGAATGCTCTATGAGGTAAAGTCCATCGTTTTATCAATTCACAACATATTTTTTATTTTCCTTGATATAAAGTATATTATATTATAAAGGATATCATAAAGTTTCATTACGATATAGTTGTTTTCGTAATTCAATTTTCCTTTTTATGGTATTGACCCTAAGAAAAACAAGTGGGCAATGGCATTTTTTAAATAAATGAGCATAGTAATTGTTGCGAATGAATTGGCCATTTGCTTCCGAATGGGGTTTCTTTCTTGAAATTTCTATTTCGCTATTTTCTTCTTCTATTTTTTAAACAGAATGCATAATTTCATAAATTTCATAGATGTCTCTAGAAGGTGGGATGAATCCTAAGGAATGCACAGAATACATAATTTCATAGATTTCATAGATTTCCTAAATGGCCCTAGAAGGTGGGATGAATCCTAAGGAATGCACAGAATGCATAATTTCATAAATTTCATGGATTTCATAGATTTCATAAATGGCCCCAGAAAGTGGGATGAGCCGTATGCACGGCATGCATAATTGGAATGCACAGAATGCATAATTTCATAAATTTCATAGATTTCACGAATTTCATACATTTAAAAAATTTCATAAATTTCCTAAATTTGGTGGGGTCGCCAGGCAGCGACCCCAGTCTAAATAGACGGCTCTCTTCGAAATTTCATATTTCTGAAACTTTGGATAATAATTTAACCGCACAAGCAACATTGTCAAAAGGAATACCGCAGGTTCAATTACATATAGGATATACTATTATTCATTCATCGAAAGTAATCAGATGTGAGCGATATTAAGTGGTCGACGCGCTTGGTAACGAAAGCGCCCCGTACGTGACGGGGTAAGAAGGCATTGAAACATACTTTTCAATCCCTGATTTAACTGCTATTACTGATGATTCTTTCAGTAATCATAAAAAGCCCAATTTTCTCTTTCAAATTGCATAAACATTGTGCCGTAACTCAACAACGAATTGTGCGATCCCCGTCCTATTCTGATAGAATGAAGAGGGAATTGTTATCAATTTTTTTAGCCCTGGCTAATTCCACTTTCATGAAAATTTTTGGAATGATCGTTGAAAAATAGATTTTTAGAAAAATATCAATTTTTGCATCTCACAGAATCAGCGCGAAAAACAAGTAGAATTTTAACGAGAAGTCCAATAGAATTTTCTAGCGAATTCGCTAAGTTTTTCTAGTGAATTTTTTCATACGTGTACATATGTGTATACATATTATAAATATCCTTTCACCTTACCTTAACATCCCTCCTTCATAATATGTGTATATATATATTTGTATGGCCGCATTATGACCGAATAATCAATTAGCAATAAATCGAACGGATGAATAGAAATTTGAAAAATCCATAGATTTTTATCCTCCTATATAACGCATTCCTGAGATACCTAACTATACTTGAGATACTTTCCATAGAAATTTCTCGGCATAAGTCTGCTTTACTGAATTTCTCTCCTTTTTTCATAAAAAAAATCGAGCGAAAAACTTGAAGAATTTAAGGCAATTTTGAAGAGTAATAACAATAAAAGTTACAATAACAGCTCTCTACTTTCTTCTTTCATACTCATCTCATTCTCGACAGTGTAAGACATCCAATTACATTTCCTATTTAATTTTCATAATGCTGCTGGTTAGCTGAATATTTTTTATTTGGTCGTTTTTCACTCTACAATCCACTGGGACACCTTGCATATAAAATGTTAATACCAGGATGTAGAGAAGTTTTGTTCCGGGGAAATTGGGGACCAGTGTTTTTCTCACATACATAAACATCAAATCATTCTTTGAGAACGTTGAAACTCGAGCAATTCTTGTTTGGACCAACAAAATCGTTATTTAAAAATTACCAAAAAAATAATTCAGTGGCGAAACGGCGAAGCTTTTGAAAAATATTTCCGAATCTAAGGGAGATAGCCAAATTTTCGTAATCACATTTGTTGTAGCTCTCAATCAGCTCTACAAAAAAGGTTATAACAACAATTTTGCTATCTCCCTTAGACTCCGAGGTATTCATTGAAAACTGGTCAATAGTCAAAATTGACTTGTAACGTTTTACCACTTCGCTACTGAAGTAGTCTTTCTATGAAATTTGGCTTTTTCTGAATCGAAAAAAAATCATGAAACCAAAGGGAAGTGAATTTCATGTGGAATTAAATGTGTTTAAACGACACGTGGAACCGGTTTTAATTGATGCCTGGAAAGTAGGCCGAATAGCGAAAAAGAATTGCAAATTACTCCCCAATCGACATTTCATTTTCTTTCTCTTTTGGAAAAAAAAAAAACGGAAAGCAACATTAGCGAAGTGATGTAGAATTTTATATCACTGATCAACTCAGAGAGTCCACAGTGGACCAGTGATTGCGTAAATACTCTCTTGCGCAAATTCCTGGGGACGTTAATGTTGTCTGGGAAGAGAAACAGCGGCGTAATGGGATCTCAAGAGAAGTTAAGGTGCCATACGACCTTGCTTCGTCTTGGGGAAGGTCAAGCATACGAAAAAAATGCCTGTCCCACCCCTTCGGCCCACCTTGACCCAATTTATGCATTTCTCGAATACTGCCACCAGTTTAAGGCGGTTAAAAAGCCAATAACAAATAAGATGAATGATTTATTATTTCTGGGAATCACTATCGATGATTCTCCATCCAAATCCTTGGATTCTCTCATCCAAATTTTGGCCAAGAGAATTGCACTGAGACAAAAAATATTTTTTCATCCAAAAACTATTCTTTTAGTTCCGACGAGTGACTGAAGGATCTTTTTGTTTTTTTTTATAGTAACCACTGCAGGAAACTGATCAAATTCATCAGTTGAATGCAATATGTAGGTTGCACCATGATGATTGAAATCTGGATGGAGAAAATAGTTCAAATAATTTCTTTTCGCAAAAGCGGAACTACCGACATTTCCATTGAATTTTTCATTTCTTTCTTGGCTAAAACTGCTTAACGTCATGAGGAAAAGTCGACCATCGATCATTATCTAAACTTTAGAAGAACACAGAGCAAAGTGGAACGTTGGTCGTCGACTGACAATCCCAATATCTCGGTTTGTGAACAAAGAATTGAAATACATTATAAATGTTGCAATTTGCCCTCCTCTCCCCCACTAGGAAAACTAAATCCTTTAGTGAAAAATACAGTGTGACGTTTTTTGAAGCCAATGAGGAATAGAAGAGTGGACGTCATATTTCAATTAACAATTAAATAATGTGTAGCTCTGATCCTTCACTTGGAAAAATTTATAAAATAAATTTCGAGAGAAAAGGATTTGCTTTTCAAGAAGAAACGGGTTGCCGCTGTGAATCAGTTATTATTGCATACCCCAATTTTTTTTTACTCACTTGGAATTTCCATCGGCTTTCCATAAGCCAAGGTCTTCCAGGCTCGTGAAGCCAACCGCAATCTCGTCCCCATGAATTGTGACGAAAATTCCCCCACCCTCAGCACCACCGGAGATCAGAGCAAAATAGGTTGCAGAGTTAATTTTCATTCGAAAAAGAATGTGAAACACATGTTTCAATAAATTACCCAGTGGAGAGAGCGAAAAAATTTCTTACGCTTTACTATTGCCGAGCATACGTGGATATTACCAAAGTTTTCGTCTTACCTCAATACTCAATTCAGAGGAAGGTAAATTAATTTTAGAAATTGAGCGAAGGAGAATTGCATCGCTGAAATGGATTTTTAAGGGTCATTAAGTTTATGGGTAATCGTGAAACTTCCAATTTTTATTATCTTCAACCAAGTTTTTGACGTGGATACGTCTGTTTTCATTATGGGGGGGCATTTGGGGAGAAAGTCCTTATGGTTCCTTAACGATAGTGACGCCATCTATCGGAATTCTAGAACGTCCTAGAATTCTCTAAAAAAATTCAAGATTTTTCTAGCAAATTCCAGATTTTCCTAGAAAGTTGTCCAGTTTTTTAAAAAATAAATTACAATTTCAAGGGACCTTTAGCGCTGGTCGGCAAAATCTGGACAGTTGGTTATTATTGCACGAAATAGATAAAATTTGTGGATCCGTGTTGAAATTGCCGAGGGTGTTTGTATGTGATGATTTCGTAAAAAATACGTCGAACACAAAAATGGTAGAAATAGATTGAAAATTTGCAATTGAAATATCGTTTTATTTTTGTTCAGCGCTTGGTTTTCTGCAAGAGAGCAATAGATTCCCCTCCGTCTCACCTACATGGCCGCCCCGCCATAAATACCTCAAGCTGATGAGATTTTTTCAGTATGTGATGTAATTCATCAATTACTGAAAAATTTAACTAAGTGGAAAATTGTTCATTATAAAATATTAATGATGATAATCTTCTTTCAGCACTTAATGTCTGGTTGGCTCTCGGACTACAGTTACAAATGTCAGCCAGTTGATTACTCCCACGATCCAACAGCAATGCGAATGGCTAATTTGTGCTGGTGGTACTTCATCAGCAAATTCACGGAATTCGCTGACACGGTGAGCATCAGCCTTTGATCGTCAACTATTCTTTCGAGTTACGACAAAAATTCTGCACATGTAATAAAAAAAACGGCAATTCAAATGATAGGGAAAACGTTCTGATCCATTCTCAAAGCAAGAAAAAATGGGAAAAAAAAGAATCATTCATCATTCACACTGAATGACCGAGGAATAAAGAATTGTGAGAAAATATTACATTGATAACAGCTGAAAAATGAATGAAAATCCATTAATAAATGTTGAGGCAACCGAGTAATGTAAATTAGGCATGGTTGAACGGAAACGCATTCTTTTTGTATGATTTTCTTGGGATCATTAGCATTTGATATTAACCACCCGCAGTTAAAAACCATGAACTGAGAGCGATTAATGATCATGCTTACTACATTGCTATTCACATTGATGTCGATTTCTTAATTTTCTCCATTAACTATTGGAAAATGCGGTCACTTGAGATACGTCACAGTCTTCATGTTTTATATTGTGTGCAAACTATCACTACAAATCATCAATGAAGTTCAATTATTTGTCTCTCAACTTTTCTCTCTTCAAATTTCGATAATTACCGAAGAGAATTAGTAGCTAATTTGCTGAATATATCATAATGGAATTTCGTTAATCATGGGCATCTATCGGGAATGAGAGATTGTAGAAAATTTTTTAGATGATGAACACGACCTCTTGATGAATCTTTCTAAACTTTTCCGTTCTGGAGACGTTGCCTCGATAATAATCAAATCCAATTGAAAATTCTTCAGTCTTCATTCGGAATTTCCCGAAAATTCATTAAATATCTTTCAGTATTTTCGAATGTATACCAATAATCTAACGGCGGTTAATTGCGTAGATTCTTCGAAATTAGAGTAATGTGAGCTCACACAGCATAATCCCATGAGCATAATTATTAACACGAAAAAAAATTTTTTTTCTCCGCTTCGTAGTGATGGATAATTATATTCATCACACGGGCCACAAAGTATTTTCTGACGAATTTCCGACGAAATTTACAATGCTATAAAAGTAAAATGATTTGATTCAATACATTTGTTTCAGAGGAAGAATTGTATAAACCAAAAACTCATTTATGATTCAGATATTTTTCGTACTACGCAAGAAGGACAGTCAGGTGACATTTTTGCATCTGTATCATCACTCGTTGACCCCACTCGAGACCTGGATATGCGTCAAATTTATTGCGGGTGGACACGGCACCCTCGGCAATCTTATAAACAATGCTGTTCACGTAGTTATGTATGCTTACTATATGCTCTCGGCAATGGGACCGGAGTATCAGAAATACCTCTGGTGGAAGAAACATTTGACCACGGTACAATTGGTGAGTTTTGACAGCTCTTTTTTCTAGAACATTCCCAACATTCTTCAGGCCCCACATATTTTTTTAAAATAATTCCACAAAAATCGATGCCAAGAGGCCAAAGAGCGACGATACAAAAATCGCGGGAGCAAAAGAGAACTCTCTTTTCACGAGGGATTTTTGCTTTAACCCTAGTCTGGTCACCACACGCGGGGCCCTGCGACTCTAGTCACCTCCGCGGGGATTCCCCGCCGTGTTAATTAGGCTCTAGCGTTGTCGAATTCACTCTACACTGCCCGGGTGCGTTTAACGAGTTTCCGGCAACGTCGCACAACGGGCAATTTCATTCAACGTGGGAAAAAATAATTCATCTGTTCGAAATAATTTGTTTTCTGGAGGAATTTCGGGAAATATTATAGTAGTTGTTCTGCAAACTACTATAATTCTTTAGACACTTCAATTGACAAGCTCAGCTCTCAGGATTTTTTCCTTCACATTGAATAGTTTGTTCCAAATATCTAACCGAGTAAAATACACAGTAAAAAATCTCAGATTCTCGTGAATTTCTATCGAATTATTTTGTACGCCAGTTTTTTTCCACTCCCCCATTTCCTCCAGGAAAAAACAAAAGGAAAAATTTCCATGAATAATCGCATAGCTCCATAATATTTTGATCCAAACGACAAAAATCTCTGCAAAATACCCAATCTGCAAATCGATTACAGACTTGGCACAATTTATTTTGCACATTCGTGTTCACGAAGTGTCTGATCGGAATAAGACTGACATTTTCAATTTCATTCGATATTGTTCGCTTCCTTCTAATAAAATAATCGCTTGACTACCCCAAGGAACCAACAGAAGAATCCAAATAAAAAATATTGGAATTCGCCATTTTTCCCCCGGGACAAATATTTCGCAATTTGTAACCAATACTGGTGAAAATAAATAGAAAATTTAATTAGAGATAAAGATCACGACTATTATTTTTATCAGTCAACTTCATCTGATAATGCGCTTGCACTCGCCCTTTAGAAACACTGGCACTGGTAGCACAGTGACCGCAAGACATTCACTTTCCTTCGAGCTCGAATTATCTCCAGTCGGTGTTGGAACCTTGTGTGTAATTCTTTCGCAATATTAATTGACAATTATTGGCCGGAGTGGGTACTCAAGTATTCGGTCAGTGATAATCCTAGGCCAGGTCGTTACATTTAAGTTGTAGGTAGTAGCGAAAAAAAAGAAGAAGAAAATGAGAGAATGTTTTCACAACTTTTTGAGCGCTATATGAGACATTTTCTGGGAGAAGTAATAGTCACGTGGAATCCCCATATGTCTTTTGAGATTCCAGCACCAAATTACAGGTTTTCCATGGATCAATGGGATTACAATTCAGTAGCGAAGTAGTAGAACGGTTTAAGTCAGTTTTGACTATTGACCAGTTTTCAATAAATATCTCGGAATCAAAGGGAGATAGCAAAATTTTTGTTATAACCTTTTTTGTAGAGCCAATCGAGAGCTACAACAAATGTCATTATGAAAATTTCGCTATTTCCGTTAGATTCCGGAATATTCCTCAAAAACTCAATTGGGAGATGAGTCGACTTAAACCGATTTACCACTTTGCTACTGAACTGTTTTTCCGACAATTTATTGACGTTGTGTTTTGAAAGTTTTGAATTACAACGTTCCAGAGATTGAACTTCATACGCTGTTAGAAAATTACTCTTGAAATTTCAAACGAAAAAGCTTGAAATTTTAATAATGACAAAGTTACATGAAAATTCTGTATATTTCTTCATTGAAAAATCACTTAATTTCTTGAATATTCAAGTAATTCGGGATTTTCAGGTGCATACGGCCCTAAAAAACCTTGAAAATTTTGAAAACTCAGGCAACAACTTGTCTGAATTCTCAATCTATTGAAAATTAAATTGAATCTGATCTGCAATTTGCACGGTGAGTTCAGAAATTCAAGCTTTCATTGAAAAATCAATGATTGTTTAACATGAAAACCCCAATTTTCTTGAATTTTTAAGATGAATGAGAAATTTAGTGAGCGCTTTCATTTGAAATTGAATTCAACCCCATAGCATCGAAAATTCAGATGAGCCTGGGACTGAAATTTCACCAAATTTCTAGTAATGTAGTCAATCGATTTACTGTCTCTTACCTCTGCGGGTACACTTTCTGGGCGCTCCTTCTACGAGTACACTGGGGTGGTTCATTACCCCAGCCTCATAGCTATATTCATTTTTCATCAGAAACTGTGCTTTTCCAATTGGAATTCCAGTTTCATTATTCTATCACTGGATTCTGTCATTTATAACTCACAATGAAAAAATCTCATGCCAGGATTGAAATGTCAAGACGATCTTAATTCTCAGCTTGATGGAATTAATGGGAATGAAAAAATCTGTTGAGTCCTTGAAATTTTAATGATCGAAGTACACTTGAGTAAGTGCCCGTGCACCGACAAAGAGAGTCAATTGAAAGGACTATATCAACCGTTATTTACAGTCATTTGTGAATTATCCAGTAAATATGATAGAGAATTTGATTCCCTATAAAAGAGATCTCTCATAACTTCATAATTAACAAAGATTTAATTTTAATATGAAGTCTTAATCTATAATTACTGAATTGTGTTGATGCTACGTGACATTCAGAGAAATTATCATGAGACCATTTTCAGCGCCTTCGAACATTTTTTCCTTAATCCGCTAGCTTAGATGTTTGCAAAAGAGAGTGTACCAATTTTTTTCCCTAAAAAAAAATCTCAAGTGAAGCCTCGTCTATTCTACTAATTGACTGCTTTTTCACTTCATGTAAACTGAACATTTGAGGACATTGTGAGATTTACTAAATGTTAGATTGATACACAAACAATTTATGCATATTTTTGTAATCTTTATTTTAGTAGAATAAACCATTTGGTTTGGATGCGTTAATGAAAAAAAAAATGAAGCCTCATCAATAAAAAATCTTCATAAAGATCAGGTGAAGGATTTTTCAAATCTCAAAATATCTGTGAAGAAAACTTGAAGATCTTGGCTTCAATGATCAACAAAGTGCATTTGATAAATTTAAAATGCCGAAGGGGTGTAGACAAGGAGGACACAGGTGAAGGGGAGGGAAAAAGTGAAAAGTAGGTACCTAACATAACGTTGAGTAACTCTTGGTTGACTTGCTTTGCTGGACTCTCCAAGGCACCCGACAACACTTGTGTTGCAATAATTTGGCATTCCAATATACGGGACCAGGTCTACTGTGCACAGAGTGCCAGTGGAGGACGGTCGATTGGACCACAGCGTGCCATAGAGCCTCACCTCGTACGAAATAGCAGTAGTGGCACATTTTCATCTTGTAAATGGTCGAATGCGTAACGTGGGAATGGAGGAAATTTAATGATTTTCTCGTTGGGAAATTCTGATCGATTTCCAAATTATTTCGCTGAAATCATGAAAAATTCAGCGATTTCACGATCATAGTGCAATTTTTGGTCGCCCCGGTCGAGGGAAAAATTTCCCATTCATCGATTTCAGGCGTCGATGTCTGAAAATGACCGCAAGATAGTCAATTTCAAATGAGCCCGGTGGCTTGGCCCAGTGAGTGGGTAAAGTTCGTTAACTCACATGCGAAAGGTTCCGAGTTCAAATCCCGGCCGGGTAGAATGGTGCGATCTAACCATTTAAAGTCTTGATCATCATCGCAGTATACCCTAACCGGGTCGAGGCGATGTAAAATAACGATAAAAAAAAATTCAAATGAAATACGATTTTCGAAAGAAAATCGACTCAAATTTATCTACCTCTTTGCAACAGAATTGTTTCCAAAAATGTTTGGTCCGGAACATTTTTGAGCGAAAAATAATTAAATAAATCCAATTTTGCGTCGAATGGCAGACGTCATTAATAGAAAATGAAGAATAAAGATGATAAATCGTAGTGTCCAAATTTCGCGTCGACATTTAGTGGATTCGAACATGAATAATTTAGCTTCCCATTCTTCTTTGGGGCCATCCTTGAATGCATCCAAAAGGCCATTGGATACTGAAATTTTTGTCGTCAAAATAAGCAGAAAATTCACTTCAATGACAAGTATAGAAGCTGTCATTCCGCGATGATAAAGCTGACAATCCTCTTAATTTCAAAAACACTGATAGAACCATACGAAAATTAAATATTTCTAAATAGTCTTTAATTCTGTTATCCTTAATTCTGTTATTAATAAATTTATTCTTTATTATGTTTCAGGTACAGTTCTTCCTAGTATTTGTTCACAGTGCTCAAGCACTAGTTTTCGACTGTGGCTATCCAAAATTAGTAGCAGCACTACTCCTCCTCCACTCAACGATATTCTTCGTACTCTTCTCCGACTTCTACCTTCGTGCTTATCGTAAAACAAAAACAACACTTGTGAAACAACTCAAGAGTGAATAAATCGATTGTACAAATACAAAGATAACGGAGGGCAAGAAGAGAGAGAATGAAAATGCAGTAATGAAAAACTTTCTTCTTTCTTTTGACGTGCCAACTTCATCATGCTAAGATACTTTTGCTCTTCGATGGAGAGCGATCAGTATTTCATTGTCTTGACATTTTTAAGGCTCCTGAATGTTGAGTCGTTCAGCGAACAAATAATTAATTGATGATACTTCATTGTCGTGTACTCATGCTCTAGAATTTTTCAATTTCCAAGTTTTATCCCCGGTGAAATTGACAACATTATTTATGATACGATATGATGTGAATTATTAATCATTTATTATACCCAGTTGTATTGTGGCACTTTGTGACTGTAAATAATTATGCTCAATATATATTTTTTAATTGTACGTATTTAATTGTTCTGATCAGCTGGCGTTACTGTCATTTTATTGGGGGAAGGTGGGGCAAAATGGAACGGTTTGTGACCTCCAAATTCAAATATTTTCATTTATAAACAAAGAAATCGATTATAAACAAAGAAATCTTGCTGGCACAAGTAAGACTTGTTTGAGAACTTCGTCGGTTTTCTCTCAATTTAGGGAAAATCGCGGACCCGGTCGCTTTTGCCCCGTATAATCACGGAAAACTCAATTCCTTCCTGTTTTTACCTTCAAAATGCCCTTGCGCCGTAGTTTTCACTCGCTTTTACCTTTTTTTAAATATTCGTTACACTCGAAACAATAAAATTCAGCATCCGTTTTACTTTATTCACAATAGATCATGAATAAATAATTTTTGAACTTCCTAAATTTTTCACGTCTCTAGACTGTAGAGCCTAGAGTAGGGGAGAGTGGGGTAAAACGGACACTTTAGACTTTTTAAAAATTATTCATAACTCAGCAACAAATTGATCAATTGAGCTCAGTTTAGGCTCGTCCCAAAGTGTTCTCTGTTTGGCTCTCAAAAAAGTGTCCGTTTTACCTCCCCTAGAGTAAAATTTACGAAATTCTACAATCAATTCTTTGTACATAAAATGTAAACACTAGGCTGAAACGCCCTCGGTCCGTCGTCAGTCATAAACTTCTTGTGACGAATTTCGTTAAAAATAAAATAATAGTAATTAACAAATTCTTACCTCTGAGATTAATCATCTCCTAACATCAGTCTTGATTAATCCAACGAATTGGAGGCATGCTTCACAATGGAAATATGATGTTTGTCACCAAAGAACAATTAATTTTTCACAAATAGAATTGAAATGAAAAAAAAAAGTAAATAAAGAGGAACAGATGAGCAGGTGTTGCAAGTAGCGCCGCATCCTACGGCAGTACCTGCAGCAGCGAAGTCCAAAGTTATCGATTGTAGGGAGGGTAGCCCACCCCCACCCCCTCCCCCTCCTCCGCAGTGATACTCATCTGGGGGTGAAGTAATAATTTTCAAGTATTTCAAATAATTTCTGTTTCAATACGAACGACGATAGATTATAATGATATTCTCGATGAATAAAAATAAATTAAGAAAAATATGTAATTGTGCGGTTGAAGTGATGAAAGGATTCATTGAAGGAAAATCAATACACTTTACTCTCTACGTTTTTTTGGCAAATTTTTCAACAATTAGATGAATTTTATTGATGCAATCCATTTAAATTATGTACATACGCAAGATGAAAAATCTTGTCTCTCACAAGCTCTAAGTATTAACGACAGAGATGATTTTTTTTAGTTTCTTTCATTTTTTTTTTTTGGACACCTACAGATGGAGAAAGAAGTCTTCAGGCTGCGGCTGCCTGTTTCTTCCTTTGTTGCCTTTCTAGGAGTCGACGCTCACGCTCGTACTCTTTCATTCTCAAAACGTAACTGGAAAAGAAATCGAGGAGCGAGCGATTTTGAGAGTCTCCAATCTAAGTAATCTTGGAAGAAATAATGGGAATTTGGAGGAATCGAAAATCTTTTCCGAAAAGTGTCAGAACATTTTTCCACAGATCGAGTCTATCGGATAATTGAGCTTAACTATTTATAATCTTACTCTTCATAAGCACAGACATCCCAAGCATGCTTCTCTGCTCCGCACTTGACTACCCAGGGATAGTTTGCCCTCCTGCACACTTCCAGATTTAGGTAATGATGAGCACAGTAATCACGAAATTCGTGGTCAAGTCTAGCTGCTCTCATTTCTTGGTGAGTGGTAAGCATGACTGTAATCAATGTTTAACATTGATCTGATTCTTATATAATGTAAAAAATACACATATTCATATCATCAATTAATATAAAAAAATCAGAAGCTATAGTGAATCCTCTAAATTGCAGAACCCTGCCCTTCTAAGATCTATCGAGAAAGATTCCGAAGATTAATAAAATTTTCACTTATTCTAAAGACAATTTCCCTAAAAATCAAACGGAGAAATTCTAGTTCTCAATAATTTTCACTTAAATGAAGTCTAGTTCACCTCAAATGAAAGCGCGTTTTCTGGTATTTTAAGAATGAGTTGATTCTTGAATTGATATTTCTCATGTTAAAAATTTAATTTGCTCATATTTTAACTAACTTTGGCAATATTTTCCGAGTTTTTGATCCTATCTTAATATAATCTCTAATTGCCTTGTGATCGAAAGTCTGTCACCTGACAGCTTAACTCAATGTTCAATTTTTTCAGAATTCCATCCCTTTCGAAAGTAAACATCCAATGGTTCTTAATTTACGAACTTTTCTTATTTAAAATGTACTCTTATTTAAAATGTACAGTACATATTAGATCGATGAGTTTCTAGTGGTCAATACACTGAGAGAAATATCGACATAATATCACAAAACTAATTTTGTGCGTCAAATATCTCTTCTCTTAAGGATAAAGTGCTTCGGATAGAGTAAGAGTAATTAAAACAAAAGTCTAAAGTGTCCATTTTACCCCACTCTCCCCTACTTGACGAACACTTCCATCTCTTCCGATAATCAACAAATACGAATGTTTACTTCTTTTGCTTCCAATTCGTAATGCAAGAGGAAGATAAAAATAACAAAAACATCGAATTCTACATGAGTTATATCACAATAATAATAAATTCCCCTGCATAATCACAGACAAATTGAATATCGGTACCAAGTGACGAACAAACATAAAAAACGTGTTAATGAATTATAAATTAATTGAACAAATTCAAGGCGAATCAAGAAATACATAAAATTATAGAATAAATATAAATTTATTTAGGTTAGAAATTCACTGATTACCTCTCGGTTTCCTTCCATCCTTGAACCCCAACATTGTATCAAAGGAAGGTGGTGAATCCCCTATGGGGGTCACCTCTGGCTTAGTGAGCACCGCCCACCCACTCCCCATTCTTAACTAATTAAAATTATTGTAAATCTAATTTTTTGAAGAATGAAGCAACTGTAACCGTGATTCGAGGCCCAGTCGCTTCTCCACTGACATCTGCTGGTCGATCACGTACCGTATTATGTAACTTTTAAAGCTCCAGAACTGCAGATGAACTTCCCAGCAATTTATTTGTTAAATATTTTATTTGGAGTATGTTAATTATTAGAGGAGGACTTTGACTAATTCTGCACCTCCATGTATTAATGTATTGATGTGTGATGGGACACGTCAGGATCAAGATGTTGAGATAAAGAATAAAAATATTCATTCATTCTTCGAAAATGAAAGCTTTCAGTTTTTAAATGAGTGAGAAAACATGTGGAACCCAGAGATCGACACAAATATTTAATCATTATTAGATTATGAATGAACAGTGAGAAATTCACATTATCATTTATCTAATCAAGGGCATAAAGACGAGAACTCCTTGATTTATTTGAATTTCCAATCTAATATGAATATTCAGAGTCAAAGCGCATTGAATTTCCAGGGGAAAATGGAACGGGAAGATACAGTTCTATTTTATTTTTCCACAAAATTCTGAATTTTCAATGACAAGATTTCCTGAAATTTCAGTGGAATTGGAATATGATAAAAATTTCCGGAATTTGGCACGGAAAATCCAAGGAAAAATTTTCAACAGTGTACTAACGCCGGAATATTCTGCTTCTTGGACGACAAATGAAAGAATTTGTGAAAGGTTTTCTGCGAATTCGAGTTCCTCCATGTTTGCTAAATAATGATTCAATTACTACAGAATATTTTTGTATCAATTATCACCTGTTAAATATCAAATTGTTTTCATCATCTCGATGTTGTTCTCGTGTCGGGAATATTGTTTAATTCATATCATCAATTAATATAAAAAATGAATATAAAAACATGTTTAATAACTATGAAAAGAATGCTATGTACAGAAAAACTTTATTTCATATGATTTTTCGAAACTCGAAAAACCAGAATACTCTCATTATAAAACGACTTATTACTTCATTTATCATTAATCATGTATTTCTTCAAATTATATTATAGATCATCGCTGCGATCCCCTTCGAAGAGTTCTGAAAGAAAACAAATAGACAATAGAATTGGATCGAATATGTTTATCCAAATTTGGAAATCGCTTCGTAGCTTTTGAATTTACTTTATTCACAATCATTAATAATTCAAATGACTTGAATAATTAAATCTTCAAAAACTCAATCTTTGTGTAGTATACGATCTCTTATGAACTTAACAACTGATTTTATCAATAAAAAAACTGTAAACTCTCGAGTTTAATGCACTTACCTATACGAGGTATTATGTTTTCATATTTTAATTATAAAAAAAGCCTTATTGGATTCTTACGGTTACTCATCATCTTCCTCCATGGCATTTCCTCCTGCAAACCACAGAATTCATCGATGAACAAGTTATACCATTAGAAAACCACATGTGTGCAAGGATTCCCCTCAAAATTAAATTTCTGTAATATTACAAGAATTTGACCCTTACATTAATGAAAGTCTAAAATATGTTGATTCAATTTTTCAAACAATATAATATTAACAATCTGATTTTTTGCGAATAGTAATGTATTTAAAATTTGTTAATATGAAATTGTACAACGACAACGTGTTTTTCTCTCAGTGTACTGAATTAATAATGAATGGAAAAATCTTCTCACCATTTTGATGCTGCTCTTGCCCCGGAAGTTGCCCTGATTGCAACAGTTTACTGAGTCTCTTGACTTCCTCTAAGCTTGAGGCACTATTGATCGCCTTTTCGATTTTGTTTCTCTCTTCACTGCTCATTGTCGGTTTTTCCGGCATTCCCATCAACGCTTGCATCTTCGCCTTCTTGGCGATCTCTCTTGCCATGTCTTTTCCACTCTTACTCCTGAAATACTCAATAGCAGCCTCTCGTTCCTTCTGCTTTATCTTCCTGAAATCTAGGAGACGCAATTGTGGAAGTCTGTAAATCAGGTACTGTCTGTACTGAGGTTTAGCTGAGACTGGATTCTGCAGGAGGCAGAGGTTTTGAAGATTCTTCAAGGGAATGAGGGGGTCCAGATCTCCCAGCTCCTGCAGCATGTTTCCTGTTAGCATCAGGGTCTCCAGGTTGGGAATGCATTGCTCCAGACCCTCTGAGATTCTAACGATTCGATTGTTGTTGAAGAAGAGAGTTTTTATACGTTTTAGGAGAGGGAATCCATCCAGCTTACGAATGTCGTTGTCGGAGAAGTCAATCGTATCGAATTGATCCTGAATTAATGAAAACAAGATTATTGAGGCAATTATTGCCCTAACGATGTCCCAAAGAGGAGGTAAATAATTCTCAACGTCAGAGGAACTCCTTTTCAAGCAAAAAAAAACTTTCGAGAAAGGTCTTTTCACGGTTTGACTAATTAATAAATTGTTGTTGGTTTTGATTGCTGGTTACTTGATTTCAGAAGAAAAATCCCTAAAATTCTGTACCAAAAACATATTTATTTAAAGTGAAAAAAGTTCTCAAGGCCCGGCTGAAATGATCCTCAATTGCTATTCAGTGTTACATAGCCCTGGAGTCTCCAAAAATTACGATTTTACAATCGAAAAAATGTTGAATAAAACGTTTAAGCGTTTTTGGACAATTTTGGAAAATAAACCCAATAGGGAGAAAATTGCAAATTAATAATTTGATGTAAAAATCAACACGTTCTCAAACGAGTCTTGTTTCGAATAAATTTTAGTACGACAGCATTTCAAGATTCAGAGATTTTTACTGGAAACCAGAATATTTTGTTTTCTGTGAAAAATTTCAAAGTTCGAGGAAAATAGCCGATTAATTTTAGAGCAGGAGTGATATTTGTCGGATTATTTGAAGACAAAAGTGGAGAGCTACTACGACAAATCCCAAATAATTCTGACAGCTTCAAAAATTAGTGAAGTGTGAGTTAATCGAATTGTCTGACCAATTGTTATTGACTTGAACAAAGTAAACAATAATAATTGAATAATTACCAGTGTTGCTCCTAAATTCTCGATTGTTGGAATTTTATAACCTGAAAAATTCAAGAATTTTTCTCATCATTGTGGAACTATCTAATTAATCGAAATATGTTGGGTTGTTGCTGTTATTGTCAACTATTAAAGACGCGGCGTTTTATTAACCTCTAAGATCCAACTCCCGATCCCTGACGGGATTTATGTACTGCATCGACTGCTGGATCAGATCCGGTGTTAATTTCACCATTTTTTACTCAAAGTTCAGCTCTCACTAAATTCAAAGACAGATTTTCACGCTTTAAATCAATTTTATCTTTTCGGAATGTGAATTTTGGTCACTCCAGCAGATGTAAGGCAGATCTTTCACGGAATTCTTCTTCTTCTTCTAATTCTAATGGCTTTCCTCTCACTCTTGTAGAGCCAAGCAAAGAGGATAGACTAGAGGCTCAGATCTCGGGGCTCAGGCGACCCCAAGCCAAAAATAGTATCACCCCAATGGAGGGATGGCGCCACGGTCGAATCTAATGTTTACGTTTTGACAATAAACCGTCCTCAACCAGTGACAGTTGAAATAACTGCCAAATTTGGCTAATTTTGGAATGTCAATCCACATTTGAAGCTCTGTTTCAGTTACTGAGACGTCACTCATCCCAAGGATCAAGTAGTCAAGTATATTTCAATCATGTTCAGTGATCACTCAAGTGAACCATCTGGTTTTTCCTCCACTGCAACAACCGATAAGTGAGTACTCCCAAAATTCTTTTGTCAACGAGGCGAATTTTGTCAAATAATCGTAAATCATTCAAAATTTAATTGCACTTCGTAGGGAAGCGGCATCGAGTACTGCTCAAACGGAAAATATTCGTCACAACTCAAAAGAGAGTCAGAGCATTACTCACCAAAGTATCCAGGTAAACCATCGTGACTCATGAAGGATCGATTTAAAATATTCCACGGAAAGGGCTGGCGGCTCCGCTCGAGGGGCACTCACTCCATAATTGAGTGACACCACGATTTCGAAAAAAATGATCTCGCGGAAGGTGATTCCATGATTTCAAATGATTTCATTAATTCGAAATCAGTGATTTCAGAAAGATAAAGTTAATGAATAATAGAGATGAGGCAACACGCGTTGTGTCAAATTATGAAAATCAAAATTGGCGATAATAACTGGCAAATAATAACAAATTCGTTTGATTCCACTCCTCCAATCTTGAGCTAATGACGACCGCTTTTCATCGTCATTAGCTCAAGAAAAGTACGAAAAATATGATTTTCCATAATTCAGTAGTGAAGTGGTCAAACGAATTGACTGAAAGTCAATTCCATTCTAGCGCCAGTTCTCGATGAATATCTCAAATTCAAAGGAGTTAGCAAAATGTTCCTAAAAATCTTTTTTGTTAAGAAAAGTGAAGACTATTGAAAAAGGTCTTCCAAAATTTTTCGCTAAACCGATTGACCACCTCACTACTAAATTATTAGAAGATTTGTCCTAAAAGAAAAGAAATTTAGCGAATTAAATTAAAAAACATACAGATTATCTGAAAATACGTTAAGGATATTAAAGGGCCTTTTACAATTCGATACAGACCACACTACAGATTCAACCATTTTCAATCATCAAATCTGTGAATTAAATTGCGCGAGGAAAATTTGAAAAAAATCGTAAATATTCAGCGTCATTGAAGCGTCAGCTCTTTCCATGAAGAAACGTGATTCACCCGTTTACTAATCTTATTTGTTCCTCCGTTAGACACAAACTGCAGAAATTCCGAATGCAGTGACGGATATTGATTACAACAAGCTTGCAGCATTTCTGAGGAAGGTGACACCAGGAATTCTGGAAGCATTGGATGACATATCTGAAAGCGATGTTCTTGATGGATATGACCCAATTGCAACTAGAGAGCTTCCTCTTCAGATTCAATTGTTGAATAAATTTTCTACACTTGAAGAATCCGATTCTAAGGTAGAAATAATCTTCATCCACTCTCCGACATATTCCATCCTCTGTTCCACCTATTTCCATGACACACTGAGAGAAAAATTAACAGGTTCTCAAACAAATCTTGTCTCGAACGAAACAATCGCAAGTTAAAAATTACCAAGGAAAGAAGTTATTTGATTTAATAACTTCCTCCCTTCGGGCCGGGAAAATAAAAAATATTTTTTCATCTTCTCATCAACTCGTCACTATTTACAGAAAAAAATAAGTGCCTTGAGCTGGAGCACAAACGGAGGAACCCTAGCTATTGCTTACAGCGTTCCATATCACGAAAAATGGTGTGACCACCTGTCTCAAATAAAATTCTTCGAACTCAAAAAGGATGACGATTTACCACAAACAGTCAATAAACACCTGGAAACAAATGCTTGCATTACTTGCATTTCATATCACCCAACGAAGTCCTCTATCTTTGCAGCTGGGTTCTTCAACGGTTTGTAGACTCATCGAATTACTCACGTTGACAACTGTTTGAGGAAAGAGTCATCAATAATTCATTGTAATAGGGGATGTGGCTCTATGGAATTTGGCAGACAATGATTTAGTTGTCCCATTGCTAGTTTGCGTTCATGGTGACGTGGTGACGTCCCTACTCTGGCGTGAAAGGACCATAAATGAACCGCATTTACTTGTCACCTCCAGTGCCGATGGATACATCTTCATTCATAAATTAACGGCTAATTTTACGACTGCTACTTTGCATAATAGGTGAGTATCGTTCACAGAGACAAGTTTCTAGGTTCCAGAATCGAGTTAGTGATTTTAAGGAGCTCATGGTTCTGGAGACTATTGTTGTGAGAGTAAAAAATGGATCACTTAATTTCAGAAGGAACATTTGAAATTCAGGATCAAAAGCCATTGAGTTCTTAAGGGGAGACTACTATGCGTTTTAAAAGTCGTGGGATATTATTATTGGAGTGAGATTGCTCATGCATTGAAGATCGATTATAGATGTCTAAAGACGAAAAATTAGTGCAAAAACATTCCTTGTAAAAACATATTTGAGATATTCATCGACAACTGGCGCTAGAATGGAATTGACTTGAACCGTTTGCCCACTTCACTACTGAAATATATTTTCGATTCTTTCAGAAATATTTTTCCGGCTATTTTACATGAACGGTGCAATTTTTTTATTAAAATAATAACAGAATCATCCTTAAAATATTGAAAATATATTCTCAGAGAGAAAAAAACGAACAGAAAAAGCAGAACAATACGTTTCCATAGCATTATTTTTTGGCTTTTGCAGGTACAAAATAGTTAAAGAGCGCAATCCCACGGAGAATACAAGACCGCGCAGTGCGGGTGGACGCAAAGAGCGAGCAGCTGAAGCTGGCCTCTCCATTACGTGTCTCGATTTCTCACTAAAGAATTCAATTTTCGTGGTTGGAACACTATGCGGGGGCTTATACAAATGCAGCCTGGATTCTTCGATTCCAGTCCAAGGTCTCTCTCAAAACACTCAACATTTTCTGGAATGCATAAAAAATATCCTCTTTGCTCTGCAGGTGACGATACGTTAATCGATCCTGTGATGGACGAATACGAAAGGTACGAAGGTAGTGTTACAGCACTGCGATGCTCCCAGACCAGTAATTTATTCGTATCCAGTGGAACCAATATGGAGTTGCGAGTCTACGATGTGGATCAAGTAATTTTTTTTCTCGTTATTTAAATGGCCGTGACTATTCGCACCATTGCGTGAATCATTCCCGTACACTCCATACACTCCACGCATGCGTGAAGTTTGTGTGTTTCACGCAGTTGTATTTTTATACACCTGTGTGTTTCACGCAGTTGTATTTTTATACACCTGTGTGTTTCACGCAGTTGCATTTTGATACGCCTGTGTGTGTGTGTTTTTTGGCTCAATTGAAAGAGCGGCTCGAAAAATGGCGTGCAGAAGTCTTTAAAGATGACAATTGTCTCTAAAGATGATGTCTGTTTTCAATTGAAAAGCGCAATTGTGACAACATTGTCCAGTGGGGTCTAGGAGTCTCCCCTGGTTCAAAACCATCTTTAGAGGCCCT